TTCCAGAGTTGGTGTTGGGTTGTGCTTTGGCCACTCTGTGGCTTAAATCTGTCATCTATTAACATAGCTTTACTATAGGATTATGTCACTTAGAGGGAACACAATATAGATTCACATACCACAGCTATTTTGAATCAAGGTACATAAACAGTAGTGTAACTTGTCTCAAGTGAGTCAGCTCTTCGTGACCCCAAAAATCACCATTCGAGTGATTCTCTGCAGTACTCTGTCCTTTTGGTGTTACAGAACAATAAAATGTGTGTTGTCCTGAATCTTCCACCAGTCTGTTTTTGCATTTGATTATTTGCAAATGACGGAGGTTCCATAATAGGAGATAACAGGAGTTCAATATCTCGCGTTGTCTGAGCAGGTGGCAATAAATGCAGAACCAAGGAATAATCGTGGGTCAGAACAGTGTTTCTCAACTTTTTTTTTATAAAGTACCCCCAGTACATATAGTTTTCAGACACATTTTTTTCTATCATTGCAACACATTTGTTTAAACAACTTAATCGTGGGCAGGCGATGAAATTTTTGGGTGTAAAAAGTACAAAAATAATGAAGCACTGTAAGACTTAAAACAAAAATTCAGTTTTCTCCAAATTTCAGTTGTTGATGTACCCCCCACCCTTCTCTCGAGTATCCCTAAGGGTTCTCGTACTACTGGTTGATAAACACTGGGTTAGAACTGGGTTCTCAATTTAAAATGTTACATCTTAATTAGAATTGCCAAGCTTCAACTTTAATACAACGTGATGGGTGAAGTAATATCTTTTACTGACCCAACTTCTCCTGGTGAAAGACAAACTTACACAGAGCTCTTCAGGTTGGCACTACTACTCTTCAAAACATGACTGTCCTATCTGGAAGGGTTAGAAAAAAGCATGCTATAGATCGTTGGCATTTTAATTCAATAGACCTTTCAAATGGGTGTTCAGTGTCTTATTTGAAGAAATTCACAGCTCACTGAGAATTACTTACAAGCCAATGTTTTTTGTTCCTGTACCTAAGTGTTGAAAAGTTAACAGAAAACAGAAAGGAAACAGGTTCACATATACATGATTCCTTTAATGGCAACTGCGTGTTTTACACATTATCCGTAATCACACAACAGCCATTCTACCTGCATATCTGGAATGTAAGAGTGAGATTACAACGTGTCTTTAAAACTGAGCTTTTGTTTCTCTCTTTAAATTGCAGGAGAGAAAAATAATTTTAACTCAGTGTTTAAACTTACTTTTCTTAGCTTCTCATAAACCAGTAAGTTGCACTGAGTTACACAGAAACAGGGTTGGGCAAAGAAATAATGGCTGTTAATTCAGCAGTCTTCTGCTTAGTCTAGACCAGCTTTCATACGGTGGAGTGCAAAAATTAATATACTCATGTTTTTCACTTAATATACTCATGTTTTTCACTCATGTTTTTCATGCTCAAAAGCTCTAAATTGTACAATTCAAACTGGTTGGCTCTTAACTTTCTGGGCCAATGGAATTTGGAATGTGTTTTAGAGAAAGATGCATATTTGTTACATGCCAACACTGTCCAATGTTTAATAGGGTTGACATCAAATAGGTATTCACTACTAACAGGGAAACTTAAGACTACCTCAACCTGATAACTGTGCTGCTCTGGCTTCCAGTCCAATGTAGGATCTCATTTAAGGTCACTAATGTATAGGGTCTCTCTTTTTCATTTTTTCCCCCCTTGATTTACCACAATTGCTGTGTTTCTTAGGGACACCAGGAAATGAGTGTTTGCTACTCTGAAACTCTCAGCAGCTGATCTGTACCTTTTTGCCTCAAATACAAATGGTGTGCTGTTTCAGCCCTGAATGAGAGCAACTTTTTTTTTCTTTGCAGGAAGTTTCTGCAATCTCTAACATTGACTTTCTAAGTGCCTATGTGATTGTATTAGTTTTTGCTAGGAATCTTGTAATATTCAAGTACCTTTGGGCTTACAAACTCAATCTGTGAGGTTAATTTCTATTCCATTGGCTTTCTCAAAAATGTTCCCATCATTGAAATATGTAAAGCTTGAGCTTCTATACAGACATTTGAATGCTATGCAGTAACTCCTAACTCTGCTTCCAATACTATGTTCAGCTTCACTTTGGAGGGAACTGGTTGGCAGTCACCTAGGATATGTCTACAATGCTATTTTGGGATACCAGAGTGTCCCAATATAGCTATCCTATGATTTCAGAGCAAGCCCCTTATTTTGGGCTCGCTATTCAGATGTCCCTGTAAACCTCATTCTACGAGGAGCGAGGGATGTTTCAGAATAGTGCTTTATTTTGAAATTTGGCGCTATTTCAAAGTAGCATTGAAATAAGATATGCAATTTGTGAAGCTATCTTATTTCAAGTTATGGTGCAGCGTGGACACACCCCTAGAGTAGAGTGCTGCTCAAAGAAATGGTTACTCACCCTGTATGGTAACTCTTGTTCTTTGAGTCCCTATGAATGCTCTACTAACCGTCCCCCTTCCCCTCTCCTGATATCTCTACTATAGAGCTTTGCTGTAGAGGAGTTGAAGGCAATTCACCTATGCAGTGCTATATAACAGTGGCCTGGGGCAATGCACAGGCTGAACAGACACTGCTGTGAGAAATCTCTGCTCCAAGGCACAAATCACACAAGCGCACCTAGAATGGTGTACCACTGGAGAGACGCATGCTAAGGAACCTTAGTTAAGGTACAGGGTGAGTAACCATTTCTATGCTGCTTTGTCTCCGCTTCCTTCATGACACTGTCCTAGTAAGATGTTCTGTAATCTTGATACCTGCTCAGTGGGAATTAGGCTAAGACCATTAACTTTTTCTCCTATAAACAAAACAGCAGTTTAGGGCTAGTTCTCCCATTTGTGCCCATTTTTGTATCAGCAGTGCCCTAACTAATGTAGTGGCTAAGGGCATCTGTGTAAAACTGATGACTTCTGATTAATTTAATGAACTTTATGTACAACTTATCCTCAGCATATTGGTGACTTGCTAGAAATTACTGGCAACCAAACAATTAAGAGTAGTGAACTTTGAGTTACTCTGCCATGGCAGAACAATGTATATGACAGAGACTGACCCAGCTAACAGAAAGCGGTTCTGCTCAAGTTGCCTATGCAGTAGCATAAACTGCTCCCTGGCAGAATTGTGTACTGTGATGGTTGCAGTTTCATAGAATCATAGAACTGGAAGAGACCTCAGAAGGTCATCAAGTCCAGCCCCCTGCTCTAGGCAGGACCAATTCCAACTAAATCAACCTGGCCAGGGCTTTGTCAAGCCGAGACTTAAACACCTCTAGGGATGGAGACTCCACTACTTCCCTAGGTAACCCATTCCAGTGCTTCACCACCCTCCTAGTGAAATAGTTTTTCCTAATATCCAACCTGGACCTCTCCCACCACAACTTGAGACCATTGCTCCTTGTTCTGCCATCTGTCACTACTGAGAACAGC